AGCTCATGGACGAGAAATACTTTGAAAATTGGACCTGCTCTCCCCCCTCCCTTCTCCCAGCAAAATAGAATGAGGGCCCTTGTCGTCGTTCGGGGGGTGGATGGAAGGGAGGCGAAAAAAAAAAAAGCAAGCACGGGCAGCAGCCAGTTTGCTCGCTTCAATTCTGGCTGGGGCTCAGGTCGTTATGGAGAAGGTGGCCGTAATGAGCTAGGCCTCACGGAAACTGTACCACGACCAGGCTTGTGCCTCCCATGTAGGAATCCAGATCCCAGGCAGGCCGTGGCCCACCTCGACGAATCGGCAAACATCGAGGCTGCACTGGGACTGAGGGAGGAGCCTGCAGGTCTGAACCTTCAGCCATGAATGGGCCTGTGGGTGTTGGGCATCCCGGCCCAGCGTACCTGGCAGCCAAGGATTCGGGGTCGGGAAGATGCAGTGCGCGCGCTCGCATCACATCACAGCTTGGGTTGGGCATCATGCATGGCTCGGAACGGGAAAGAGGGGGGAGGATCCTCTGGGGTTGAAATTGCCCTGTTGCGTTGGGCGAGGACACGACACCCAACCTCCATTTCTGGCCTACAACCGAGTAGGAAGGCGAGTCTGAGTCTGAGTCTGGGCCATTGCTCGAAACCCGGTGCGGAAGCGAAAAAAAGGCCGACCGGTACCTGCAGTGGCCAACACGATGCTAGTGCCCTTGTGCCAATTTAGCAGCAAGCTCTGACCCTGGTGAGAGCCGTTACCGCCAGGCTGGCTGAAACCAGGCGGGTGCCAGTACGCGCCAGAGGGTGGCATCCACCATCGCGCAGCACATCCACCCGCTAATGCGCCCGCCGACCGGCTCGTCCTGCAGCGCAGCATCATCGTCCAGCTGCAGAGGGAGGGCCCGTACGAATCAGGGCGAGCCATTTGTCGAGGGCTGATGGGACGAATGCTTAAGCAGGTACATGCTGCAGATGCCCGCCGCTGCATGCACTCATTGGCGCAGCGATTGACTCCAGGCTTCGTCAGAAGATCATGGAGAAATGGAATACGGGCTCTGCTCCGCGCCAGGGGGCGTGTATCCGGGAACAAAGTGGCAGCTCAGCAGCTCCCAGCCGTGTCCTGCGCCCACACTCAAAGGGGAAAAGAACCTTGGTTGCGGAGAGAACAAGCCAAATGGATGCGGTCAACCCAGCCGTTCAACACCTGCGCCTTCTTTGCTTTTTCTTTCTGCTCGCCTTCCATCGGCCAACCTTGGCGGTCAAGGTTTTCGGCTTCGGAGTCGCCATCTTGCTCGCCGCGTCCGCCAGCCCAACACATTTCCAAATTTCACCAGAATGATGAATGAGGATGATAAGACCCACCAGCCATTAACGGGATGGGAGGGGCGCTAGAGTATTTTTAAGAGCCGGGAGATTAGCTCTACACCGCGTGGCATGATATCACCGCCGATAGCCAACTCTGTTATTATCCGCGACGTACGTCAGGCCAATCCCATGCAACATCGGATCTATAATCGGAGGAGGAAGCAATTCCATTACGCTCTTTGAACTGTGTTCTATCCCTTGTATGTACAGCGCCCCAATCTCATCATCTCATGATCTATCGCTTTTCTATTTCCATCCGCGAGGATCTTCCGCAGCCTCTAAGGCGCATACGTCTTGCCACCGACCTGGACCGCGGCCGTTGCCACCAGATCACCCGCGCTCTTCCCAATGCTGAAAGTGTACTCGCCCGCCTCGAGCACCCACTTGTGCTCCTGTTGTCTCCAGAACGCAATGTCGCGGCCGTGGGCTGGTAGCTCGACTACCGCGGATCCTCCGGCGGCCAGGGTCACCTTCTTGAAGCTGACTAGAGACTTGACAGGGTTTTCTGGGGACGTCTTGCTGTTGCCAACATAAAGCTGAACAGCAATGGCACCCTTGACCGAGCCTGTGTTAGTCACCTTGACGCTAGCAGTCCACTCGTCACCAGCGGCAGTCGGCTTAACGTCGAGGTCAGAGAATCCAAAGGTCGTGTAGGAGAGGCCAAAACCGAAGGGGAAGTTGACCTTCTCGGCGGGCAAGCGATCGAAATGCCTGTATCCAACGAAGACGCCCTCGGCATACTTGACGGTAAGTTGACGGCCGTTGTACTCGCCAGGGAAATTTCCGTAAGCGGGACAGTCTTCTAGGCGCTTGGGGAATGTGCAGGTGAGGTGGCCCTCGGGGTTCCGTTCACCGGTGAGCACGTCGGCAATGGAGTTGCCAGCTTCTTGTCCGGGGAACCACGTATGAACCAAAGACTTGATCTCGTCGAGCCAGGGCATGGCGACAGCCACACCAGTCGAGTTGACGACGATGGTGTTCTGGTTGACAGCGGCGACGCCGGACACGAGGCGGTCCTGGCTGCCATCCTTGGGAAGGTTGAAGCTGTGCTGGTCCTGACCCTCGGTCTCCCAGGAAGGGTCGTGGCCTGTGAACACGATCGCGTAGTCGGCTGCCTTGGCCAGGTCGATGGCTTCCGTGAGGATATCCTTGTCGTGCTCAGATGCTGACATGTTTCCAAGTCTCACACCGACCTTGCCCTCGAGGATTCCGAGATCGACGCCCTCGACAGGGGCCGGGGGTGTACTCTTGAGGAGAATCTTATACTGCTTCCCGGACTCAAACTCGTACTTGACCAGGGGGGATGCGACACCGCCGAGCAAGAAACCCATCGGGTCCGAGCAGTTGTCCTCCTGCTCAAAGACCACTGTACCGTTGATGGCCACACTAGAGGGGCCAAGGCCGCTGAGAGTAAAGTAGTAGGTAGCGGATTCGGAGGCAGTAAAGGTTCCCTCAAGCTCAATGCTGGTGTTGACCATGTTCAAGCCATCCAGTAACGAAATCTCGGACTTGCCATGTCCACCAACAGTGTTATAGGGCTGTGACTCGCCAACGTGGTATGAGCGCCAGGTAAAACCAGGCTTGCCATCTACATCGACTACATTGCTCGTAATCACGGGGAGCTGCCTTAAAGTGTGGGCACCCTTGGCATATGTGAACTCGACGTTCTCGCCCTTGTAGGCTTCTTGAAGAGCATCCCAAGGGGTGATCTTGTAGTGCGCGTTCAAAGAGGCACTACCACCTCCGTGTGCAAGAGACTCCTTGGCAAGGCCAAGCAGGGCGATCTTCTTGCCCCGTGCCTTTTCCTTGGTGAGGGGCAGAACGTTGTCGTTGTTCTTCAGGAGCACGATTCCCTTGGAGCCAGCCTCGCGGATCAGAGCCTGGTGCTCGGGCTTGTTGACAGCCTGCTCAGGAGGGATGGTGGGGTCTTTGAAGCAGTTCTGGCGCTCAAGGAAGCGAAGAACGTGGATGGCGCGGTCGTTGATAGTTTCCTCCGAAACCTTTCCAGCCTTGACAGCAGCAACCACCTCGTCAACCTTTCGCCATCGAGTGGGGCCCGGCATCTCAAGATCCAAGCCGGCATTCAGAGAATCGGCGACAGAGTTGACACCACCCCAATCGCTCATGACGAGGCCGTCCCATCCCCACTCGCCTCGCAGGACCTGTTTTAGGAGGGACTCGTGAGAGTCGCAGTGGCTTCCGTTGACCTGGTTGTAGCCAGTCATGACAGCCGCAGGCTTGGCCTCCTTAACAACCCTCTCAAAGGGCCTCAGGTAAATCTCACGCATAGTACGCTCATCAACAATCTCGTCGACGCTCAAACGCTCGGTCTCTTGCTCGTTGACAGCATAATGCTTCATCGTGGCAGCAACCCCTGTGGACTGAATGCCCTGGACACTCTGCGAGGCAAGCGTGCCTGCAAGGAATGGGTCCTCTGAGAAACTCTCGAAGTTTCGGCCACCAAGGGGATGGCGGTGGCCACAAATAGTAGGGCCCAGAAGGCATCGAGCACCCTTGGTGAGAGTCTCCTCTCCCAAAGCAACACCGATTCGTCGAGCAATGTCAACATCAAATGTGGAGGCGACACTGCAAGCAGCGGGGAAGCAGGCGGCTGTCACGCCCCCAGAGAAGGTCTCTCCACGGGCACCATTAGGTCCATCACTGGTCTTGTTTGTGTTAATAATTGAGCGAGGGTGTTGTTGGAAATGAGTTGACACGAACCTTAAGAGCCGGAACTCCTTTTTCTGGGATGGGAACGGTTTGCCAAAAGTCAGCGCCAGCAAGGATAGAGATCTATAACCACACCATTAGGACAAGTTATTGTTAGAAAAAGAGAGGGATGGTAGAAATGTTCAAGCCTACCTTCTCCTCTAGCGTCAGCTTAGACAGCACAGCATTGACGTCGGTAGGAGCCATCTTAAAGCAAACAGAGAGCAATGAAATATCAGAACCGCAATAGTAAAGAGAGGGTGAGGCAATCCCCAACCCTCCCCGGGACAACGAGGCCTTTTATGGACTCCATTGAGGAGTTACCAAGGAACAGCTAGAGGGCCAGATTTCCATCGACTCGTCAACCAGAACACCAATACTGCTCGGAACCGGGGTGTCTCCCCATAGTCCGGAGAATCACTGGGCCTATATCCGCGGTTTTTCCCTCCTAGACGAGCTTTCCGGGGCTTGGAACAGCAAAAGGAGGGGCCGTTGAAACTCCAGGGTTTTTCCGACCGATGATCTCCCGTAACTCTGCCTCTATTCTGCCGGGACGGGGACAGATTGGGCTTCTCCTATTGGCTCCATGACGTCTTCTCGACCGTTTCCATGGCTCAATGGGCAGATGAACCCCCCACAAGAAACACATGAAAGCAATCAGACCCGCCTCCAACTCATGCGATTGGTAATGCGAGATGTCCTTGTGACCAGTGAAGGTGGGTGAGAAGGTCATGGAATGAGATTCCCGTCACGGTAGCCCGTTTCGACCACGAGAGGCAGCCAATCCCGTGTTATTACCTGGTTGGGACACACACAAGCAAAGAGAGTTTGGCCTAGCAACAGCAAAACGGTTGTGCATGAGTTAGTTTGTCAAGCGTATTTATTATTCATGATTCAGGGATTACACTGCGTATTATAAGCCCATTCCTACTCGGATCTCTTGCACTAGGGCTTAAACTCTTTGAGCCATTCAGCAACAAACTCCCTGATCTCCTGCTTGGCAGACTGGACGGCCTTGGGAGGGAAGTCGGGAGTAACCTCCTCAGGGAACACCCCGTTTTCGTCCCAATGGTGCACAGCATCATCAATGAGAATCACCGGCTGGGCTGTGGTTGAGTTACGCTTGGGCTGGGTCAACGCGTTGACACCTGCTGCCCTCCAGGGATCCCACTCGCCGTCGAGGAAAGCGAGGCGGTGGTAGGAAATACCGAATCCACCCCACTGGTTGATGGCCTCGAGGTTGGCGACCCCCGTGATGTTGAAGGCGTCTTTGCAGATCTGCGAAGAGTACTCCAGATCCACGAGGCGAGAAATCATGGGCAAGATGTCGGCCGGTGCGCCAGATCCAGTCTGGAGGTAGCCCCACCTAATGAATACAAGGTTAATTGATGCGCGGCGAAGAGTAGAAAGAGGACAGTGGATAACTTACTCTGTGCAGACCTGGTACGGCCAAAGTCTCCAGGTTTGTGAAAGGTCGTCTTGCTCGTAAAAGCCGACTTCATCAACCTGGGCGTTCGTGTTTCCGAGAACTCCGATCCAGTTGAGGAAACGATCAGTCAACGGGTCTACCTCAGACTCCCAGCCACCAGCAATGACAAACTCCTTGACTTGGTCGCGGATAGGTTCCAGATTAGTGTAGTTGTTCTTGTCGGTAACCACAGCCTTGCAGTATGTGAAGAAAAAGTCGTCACTAATAGCAGGATCCCAGTTCACGCTCTGCAGGCTGTAGATTCCGGTGGCAATGTTGGAGGCGAAGTCCACGTTAGAGGTGGCATCCGTGTATCCAAAGACCTTCTTCAACGAGCTAATGTATTTGGAGTTCTCCTCCTTGGTGAGGATGTTGTCCACAATGTTGACAAACTTGCCGGTCGTGTCGGAGCATCCCTCGGGCGCGTAGAGGCGAGCGCCCTCAAAGTACTCCCAGTAGTCCCAGATGGCCTCGACGACGCCAGAAGACGAGATAGCACCAAAGAAGACATCCGGGTACAGGACGCGGAGGAATGCGACAAAGCCGCCTGCGTAGGAGCCCCCATAGGCGATCCAGGGAACCTTCTCAGGACTGAAGCTGACATCCTCCAGACCCTCGAAGACAACGTTCTTGGCGAAGTAGGCCGTGTCAGCCAATGCCTGCTCAGTCGTCAAGAATCGGAGATTCTCGGTGCTGAAGTCTGGGACTGGGACACTGCTTCCGTAGTATCGGTGTTCGAGGATAACTCCCAACCCATTGGTGGCTTTCGCCACCTCATTGACAATTCCCTTCTCTAGGAAGGGCAGACGGTCTGCTCCGTCCGTCTCACCGCCACTCAGAACAAAGACTGGGCCACCAGGCTTATAGAACTGGGGGTCGAACCAATATCTCAGGTTGAAAGTTCCGTTTGAGTGAGGAGCATACTTGGTGTCATTGTGGAAGTGATCAATGGGCACCGAAAGGTTGTACTCTTGGTACGTCGCCTCTCGGATCTGACTACCACCAGGAACTCTAATCTATTTTTGAATAAACCCCTACGGTCAGTAATTGTTTTATTCCCCAGGCTCTGTAGAAACAAAAAGTCTACAGAAAGCGGCAGTTTGCTAGTTGAGACCAACCTGTTTTGCAAGTTCACTGATGGGGATGGGGAGACCCCTCAAGGCGATCGCGGGGGAGATCAGGGCGGCGAGCCCAAGGAACAGCCCGCGAACCATGGCTACAATTGTCAAGGATAACGAACCGGGTTGATGGAGAGTTCACGCCATGCCCAGAGGGTGACACACGGCATATTTATACACAACATCAGCAACGCCGATCCGAGACCCCAGACGGAACCTTTGCGGTGGCATTGATTGTGGTGCTTTTCGCCTGCTACAACCCACCGGGGAACAAGGTGAGCAAATGGGGGCCGGCACTTTGGTTGATAGGTGGGACGCATGCCATTGGCAGGCTTAATCAATGTAGGTAGGCGGCAGGCAGCATGGATAGTGGGTGCAACCATTCAGTATTAAGGCATTTTCAAAAGGCCTTGACAGACAGATCGCACCTCAATTGGAAGGTCCCGATGCTGTGGCCGTGTTCAATGCTCAGGGCGAGCTGCCTTAACTTGGCGTCCCCTGCCGAGCAGCCGGTGACAAAAAGACCCTGTACATCAGATCGATCAGAAGGCATCCATGGCCTCGCCGGCTCTTTGGCTCGTTTACGGGGCGGGGGATGTCTGTGAGTTGATTTTATTTTATGTTGCATTGAAGGAAGGAGTAGATGCACATCAACCTCCATTGAGGTCTCTAACTTGACCTGACAATGGTCCACGGTTGCTGGTTCTAGCTCTCGTGCAACGATACAGTGGCGAATTACAGGTGCCTGATGTGGCTTTTACCGCTGAAACATCGATCTGCACGCACTAATTTTTAGGCTCATTCAGTCAGCACCATTCATCAAGAATCTCGAGAGCATCAATGGCCGTGACTGTTCTCTTGCCTCTCTCGTGTTAAAAGGACGAGGGCCAGTACCTTTCTCAATGGGATCATGGATGTTGATTGGTAGCTGACCTTCCACATTGGGCATACAAGAACGATGCGCATATCGTTATCGAGCGTCGTATGCGCAGCAGGAAGGCATCTCAACCGTAAATTGACGGCTCCAGTATCCGGTTATTCTCGAGGTTGGGTTAATGCCCAGAAAAACGAGACTTGTGGGAAAGGACCGGACGAGGTTTTATATGACCTGGCGGCCTACTTGTAAGCGATCTTCCTCCTGGCCAAATTGCAACCACTACATCCGGGCGGCACGTTTGGATATATGTAGGCACTTAAGGCTCGACAAGGGATGAGAGGCAAGGAATCACTGTCAGCATGGGGCAATTCAACCCGGATGGCCGCTGTGACAAAGTGACGCGGGGGTGGATTAATGACATACGCCCGACAACTACCGTGATGCCATAGGATGAACATCTCATCCGCTATCCGACGCCAGGCAAGACATATTATACTCGTTCGGCTCTCCAGTTGCTCCTTCTTACATGCCGCCTCCCGGAGTATTGCTAAATCCCAGCGAAAGGGTAATCATACATAAAACGCCGTGGATGCCGGAGGATGTGATCGGCACCAACGCTATGCCCAGCCGCGATCGATCCACCCGTTCACACACTTGCTGGACGAAACAGCCCCAGAACCCATCAACAATATCGTCATTCGGAGTCAAATTCACGTTATGGCGCGCCATAGAGGCATCAACTACCTGTACAAAGCTCTAAACAACCACTGCGCCAGTTTCCGGTATATCCCTCACCAGAGCTCCCCAAAAAGGCCGCCGCATACTTGGTCAAAATCACGACATATCCCGAACTCCCACACACACAGCAGCCTTCGAAGATACCAATCAACGCCAGCGTCCAGTCCGTTTTCGGTGGCGCCGGTCCCACATGACAGCAGGCTCCTCCCCCATAATCCAGCAATCCAGCCCGTTCCTGAGGTGAAGTGGGACTCATCGACTCATCGACACCAGTGGTGAGCGGCCGATGTCTCGGGAAGAGCCTTCCATCACCGAGTTCGGCAGATCTAACAAGAACTATCGGCTTCCATGTTGATCATCTCACAAATGGCTGCGTCTCGTCCAAAAAGAGTGGCTTTTGGGCCTCCAGGCATTCGATACGATCTCACATCGAGCTGGCTCCGTCTACAGAGACACATTTGTATAACTCAAGCTAGATGTTAAAGCAAGTGAGCGCCAGCCAACGGTCCCCGCCCAATCAACTATTCCAAAACCACGGAGACATTTGAATTTAGATGGACATACCATCGCACTGCATTTGTGTGTGCTACGTCCACCGTCCAGGAGACGGAAATGGCTCATTGGCACACCACCATCTGTCTCAAGCCATCTTGCTCCACCCAGGCAGAGCGCCTATTATATGGTCTCTCCAGTCCTAATGCCCTTCATTATTAATCGCATTTTTCAATTATTTCTTTCAAGCCTAACTCGCCCTTGTCCCGTTCTCTCTTAGCCTCCACATCCTTGATGATTATCCTCTGCCTAGCTTACACCGACACTCACTTATTATAAGCACCCGATCCCCGCCACGCAGCAATGTGGGTCGATGAAAAATAGACCATCTACATATCTGCTTTCAGCCATTGATCACTGAGCTTCCTTTTTATTACAATTTGCGCAGAAAGTAGCAGCCGGATCTATCTATTCGCACAGGACCGTCCAACTTCCACTCTTGACAGACACGGTATCACTAGAAGTGAGTGTCCTCTGTCAACTCATACAGCGGGGGTCCTCCTAAGACACCAGGAGTAACGAGAGAACGGCCAACCTCCAAGATGACACAGACCAGTAATTCTATACCTGGCAGTCAAAGCCTCAAAAAGGTCAACGGCCACCAGAACGGTGTCGCCAACGGAAATGGAGCCACCAATTCCAGTAGCCCCAAGCTAAATCGCGCCGAAGAGACGGATGATGTATGTATTCCTTCATTGCCAAGTTGGTATTATTTGGATGTCTCGATTGACTTGATTTCCGACTTTAGCTTCTCGCTGCTGTCCGCGAACTAGTCATCCCATTCATCAAGGCTGCCGATGATGCTGCCGCCCAAAAGCATACCGGAGAGGCGTATGTTGCCCCCAATGGCGAGCTACAGCCCGTTCTTGTGGACTATCAAAGTCCTGTGGAACTCGTCAAGCGCCTTCAGATCCCTCTTCCTGAGCAAGGACTAGGAAAGGAGGGCCTCCTCGAGTCCATCCAGAAGATCCTTCAGTATAGTGTCAATACCTGGGACCAGGGATTCCTCGACAAGCTCTTTGCTTCCAACACTCCTGTAAATACGTTCCGCCTCTTGAGGACTTCTCACAAGCCATTAACTAGCTTTATAGGTTGGTGTTATTTCCGACATGATCTTATCTGTCCTCAACACCAATGTATGTCATTTCCCACTTACTCCGGAGGATGTTCTTCATGCCAACAATACATTAGGTCCACGTTTATCAGGTCTCTCCGGTCTTGACTTTGATAGAAAAGGCCACATCAAAGAAGCTTGCCAATCTCTTTGGCTTCACCGGGCCCAACGCTGGCGGTATCAACTGTCAGGGAGGAAGCTCCTCCAATTTAACCTCACTTGTGGTCGCGAGAAACACTCTTTACCCAGAATGCCGAACGGCTGGAAACGCCAGTCACAATTTCGTGGTCTTCACCAGCGCTCACGGTCACTACTCTGTTGAGAAGAGCGCCATGATTTGCGGCCTGGGCTCCGATAGCGTCTGGCCAGTTCCTGTCGACAGCGAAGGCTGTTTAAAACCCGACCTTCTCGAAGAATTGATATTGCGCGCCAAGGCCGAGGGCAAGACTCCATTCTACGTCAATGCTACTGCAGGCACTACTGTAAGAGGAGCGTTCGAGGATCTCGAGGCAATTTCAGCGATTTGCAAGAGGCACAACCTATGGTTGCATGTAGACGCCAGCTTCGGTGGCCCCGTCATTTTCTCCAAGAAGCATAGTTGGAGGCTGAAGGGATCCCATCTCGCCGACTCGCTAACAGTCAACCCTCACAAAATGATGAACGTCCCTGCTACATGTTCATACATCCTTGGCCCCGACATGAACCTATTCAACAAGGCCAACAGCACCAAGGCCGGGTACCTTTTCCACAGCAACAGCGACGGCGAAATCTGGGACCAGGCCGATTTCACCCTACAATGTGGCCGCCGGGGTGACAGCCTTAAGGTGGCACTCGCTTGGCAATACTACGGATCCGACAGCTTCGAGCGCCAGACTGACCATGCTTACGACGTGGTTGAGCACCTTTACAACTTGGTGCGCGACAGCCCGAACCTGGAGCTTCTCTACCCTAACCTGCCCTCTTGTCTACAAATTTGCTTCTACTACGCCCCGGGAGGGAAATTGTCTGAGGATCCCGAAGTAAATACCAAGATCACTGCCGATATCGTACACAAATTGATCCCTCGGGGCTTTATGGTTGATTATGCCCCCGGTGAAAAGGGGAGCTTCTTCCGCGTTGTGGTTAACTGGCAGACACTTTTCACGACGGTAGAAGGACTTGTCAAGGCCATTGAGATTCTTGGCAGCGAGATTTCTCTTTAAGATGATGGATAGATTCAGTTACTAGACATTCTAGAGATGCTATTTCTTGAGCATGAGATTTACTTTTAGATATAAATTAATGGAATTATATGGTCGGACCTCAGTCGAAAATTATCATGGAATTTATCAAAACATAGAGATTCATTATACTTTCTCAAACCCTTTCAGATGTTGAAGCCTCAATTCGCTTGGTTCAGCATCCGTAGCAGCGACCGCCCTGTGGAGAGGAGGGGCATCTGACCGGGCTGGCAGTTACAGTGGAACGGGCACTTGCAGGGGGGGCAACGGCGCTGATTCTTATCTTATCGCGCGCCCAATTTTTTTTTTGTTGCAGGACTCTTCCCAAACTCCAATGCAGAGGACTTGACCGTTGGAACACCATTCTCACAATCCAAATCGACGCCACGAATTGGCCCTGCCACAATGCCTAAGCCAAGAACGAAGCGAGGCGCCATTCGGGAGGAGAAAAAGAGAAAGAGACAGGAAGAGGAGGAGCATGCTGTGGCTTTGAAGCGACAGCGCCAGGATGGCGAGAACGAACACTGGGGCGAGGGAGCCGAGGACGCAGCCGCGCAAAATGGCATGATCGGGGAGAGAGAGTTCTTCGGTATGC